ACAACTCATGATGTCTGGGGGGGGGGGGAATGTGTGTCTTCACCCACCGCCATTCGGTATCCAACACAGTGGATGAGTTGGCATATAGGAATAAAATAAACGGTTAAGTGATTACTATAACATAGTATAAGGAGACAACACGCATATCCCAATACCTATTATCCATGGTCTCATATTGTTTCACACACACTAAGCACAGATACCTCTTTTAGCTACTGTACAGTATACAGAAAAGGTACTGCATTACTATACTGTACCTCTCTAAACTTAACTTCTATACTGTAGTGTATACTGAAATTCACTACATACTCTATACAGTACTGTATACCAAACCACTCCTCATATTCTAGCAGTACCTTTCTATTCTGATCAAATTCACTTTGCAGTCCTGTACTCTGTTTAGCGAACCCCCCCCCCCCCAAATGCCTCAAATATAATACCGTAGTACAGTACTGTACATGCTCAAATGTGACAAAGAAACAAAGAGAATATAATATAAAACTATAAAATGAGCAGAAAATTCCCCCCTCCAGTCACCTTAATTCTCATATTAATAAGTTCATTTTGTGCCGGTTTAATAAAATAGTATTGTAAATTATAGTTCAGTAATCCGTTTCTCCCCTCCAAAAAATCCCACACTCAACCCCAGATGATTTATTATGTTGTATTAAATTCCTGGAGATATGTTTACATAAACTAACAGCTGACCAGCTCACCAGCCAGCCACGGAAGGAGCTGTTTATGCAATACAGAACAACTTTTTGTACAATATCTTTCTGTTACTGTATTTTTTTATGTACTGTATTGTACTATTATGTATAACCCAAAAAATCTGGCACTGCAACAATTTGTCAAACTAAAAATAATGAAACTTTTCATATATACCAAACAAAGTTTGATATTCTACGAGTTTTTTGGATTCGTTTTATACCAAAAAACTCCCTATACCTAACTTGCTGCTCACCAATTATTTTGGTATAGAGAGGTTATACAGTGAACCCTCACTTTACGCGGTTAATTCAACCCACGGCGGCCCGCGTAAAGTGAACAACATAACACAAGGGATTAATTGAAATAGAGACCAGGCCGACCCCCAAACACCACTTTTTCAGACACAATACCTACGTTGTAGTAAAAATAACTTCTTAATTTTATGATGGTAAGCACACACAATTAATAATTAAGAGAAATATCAATAGTATTAGGTTTTTTAACACTTACATTAGTAGAAAAGATGGTTGGGCACACGAGGATGGGGGGTTGGTTCCGAGGCAGAGGGCAGATTATTGGCCCTCACCTGTATCACTTGTATCAATTGTATCACTATCCACCACAGAGGCTTGCAGGGCCTCTTTGTCAAACCCCTCAAAGTCCATATCCTCACTATCATTATCACTATCACTGACTTGGGCCGGCTGTGGTGGGTGGCGGGTGAAGAACTCGGTAATGTGTTGATGACTGGGCGACCTTGTGCGCACCCTGCTCGCGCCGCTTACACAACATGGCGGGAGGTTTGGATCCAAAAATGGCGCGGCTCGCCAGCCGCTCTCCGCGTAAAGGGGTACACGCACCGCGGAATGTGAACCTTTATAATTCTGGCTACCAAGCGGCTGGATGTAAACAATCACAATGATTTCGCATATGACAGAAAGGTGTTATGATATATTGTGACAATATCACTTTTCTGTTAATAAAAGTAGGTGTTATGGTAATACTGTATTAACATGTAGGGTAATGGCCTTAAAACATATTCAACGAAAGGCTGCTTTAGAGGAAATATGATTTAGAATGTGTAGAAATACATTATTCTTGTGTACAAAGAAAAAAATTTTAACTTATATTTTTGGGAGTAGGATTGCAAATAAAATGAAGTTTTCGGGCCATTGCGAGAAGAAGGTAAATCAGGCAAATAAATTATTGGGTCTTATAAGAAGGTCGTTCAGATATCTAGACTGTCCGTCCCTCGTAACGATATTCAAGAGTGAAGTGCTTCCCCATCTGGAGTACTGTCACCCCGTTTGGTCCCCGAGATATGCTAGGGACTGTCAGTTGGTTGAAAATGTTCAAAGGAGGGCCGTCAGACTGGTGCCTGCACTTCGGCACCTCAGCTACCCGAGAGATTGGAGCCCCTGAAATTGCCTAGCTTATACTACAGATGGGCAAGGGGTGACCTAATTGAGGTGTATAAGCATCTCAAGGGGCACTACTCTCTCGAGTGTCCTTACTTGGAGCTGGCGAACTCTCGCCTCACAAGGGGTCACAGATCAAGATTGAAGAAGCCGCAAGTCCAGAAAACTGTGAGGGCAACTTTTTCGGAGTGCGAGTTGTGAACTCTTGGAACAATCTACCAGAGAGTGTTGTGACGGCACTGAGTGTGAGCTCTTTCAAGACCAGACTTGACCAACACTGGAGCAGATTCAGGTACATTCAGGAGCCGGTACATGCCCAGTACCTGCCAACAGTGCGTAACAAAGAGTCGGTACATGACTAGTACTTGCCAACAGTGAATGACAGAGACATGACCAATCGCCCAAGCGGCTAACAAGCCGATCAGTGGTGAAGAGGATAAAAGCAAAAGTAAAATAAACCAAAGCTATCATAACTTACAATTATATATACCTACCATAATGAAAATTTTATGTAAAAGAACAATATTTTTATTGAAAAGTTTCCTGATGTATTACTAGATATTTTTCTTAAGTTTTCGGTAATAGCCAACATGGGCCGGCACCAACTACAGTGTACAGTACTCGTGTAAACCTAAGGGACCGAACCTAACGACTCTCACATAACAGGATACGTGCATGAAACTTCCAACCTAACTTAACATCCCCCTCCAGTCTGCACAGCCAGGAATTCCAGATTAAATAGCCATTTCCTTTCTTTATCATGACCCAGACTTTTTGTTATATTTACCAGTTTGTATCGAACATATTAAACAAATACAGATGTAAACATTCAAAACTGATAAGTGCATAACCATGGTGTTATAATATAATTGTGGCTGCCCCTCATGTTTGAGGATGGCTGGCCTGAGGGCCACCCAGGCGTGAATTTGTTTAAGGTGTAGAAACTGTCGCCAACACAACAACCACACCCTGAGTTAACGAGCTGCATGACTCAGTGTCAAGGAATAATCCAAAAAGACCGGACAACTTGCCAACCGCACTGGCAAACCACTGTGGGGTGGACAGAGGCAAATGGCATAAAGAAACTTGCCCAGAGTTTCATCCTGCCAGTTTCTTATCTAAAACACTGCCTGCAGATTCGAGTATTGGTGGTGCAGTGTTTCTTGATGCATGGCTGCAGGCTCATGATCAGCTGAGATTATCTAACTCTTGTAAATAACTGAAAATCTTTAAATATATATGAAAACAAGACTTTTTATATAAAAAATTCATTTTCTATCAGTTATGAATACGGTACAGGTATAGTATATTCTATACATGTATAATCTATCTCAATACTGTATATAAAAATTTGGAGGGTGAAAAAGTTTATACAGGTACACTATATCCATAAGGACTGTCAATGATTCCAATAGGGAATCCAATCCATGGGGACTGCCTTTGGACCTGTAAGTGTTTTTTAATAACAATACATGACATCACTCCCAATCAGTCAGGATGGTGTAATGACTGGGAATACCGCTAATAATCAGAACAAAATGAATACAGTAATAACAATCAGATCATTTTAATGAATGAAACAGCAGTACAGTGAACAGTATGGTATTTACCATTAAATATTAAAACTTACCAGTATGCTGTACAACAAAACATTAATGTTACATATCTGAGAGCTTAGTGAAATGGCCAGGGTGTGGTAGAGTGGGTGTCCATCTTTGTTTACATTGATTAACACTAACAGGGCAATTGTAATTTCAGCAATTGGTGAGTTTGAAAGGAAACACTTAAATTTAACTCAAATTAACTACCCTTAAATGGCTCCAGTCTTTATACAGTACAGTCCAGTATTATGATATACAGTAGCTGCTGATACTGTAAATGTTTTCAAGTTTCCTGCTGACTTCAAACTCACAATACACTGTGAACTTACCAGATGCTCCCATAAGATGCTGCTACCTCACCAATCAATAATAAGATTTTTAAAGGAATGTGCTGATAAATGCATCTTATATTTTTTACTAAATGTATGGCTTGAGATACAGATATTTCACACAGCCAACCAACCATCACAGTTCTTAATGCCATACTTTGGGGGCTTTTTTTGTGTGTGAGGGGAGCGGAGAACACCATCTTATACACTGGCAAATACAGTAATACTGTACCTCCGTTAGCCGAAATTCCTCAAACCCGGAACTCGCTGGTAGCCGGAATTGATATTTTCCTGGAAAATTCCAGAGATGGGGGATTTTTTTTCCGGATTTGAGAGATGATAATCAGGAGCATTTTCTGGAAATTCCGAGAAAATTTTCTGTTACCCGGATAATTCCAGGGATGAGGGATTTTTTCCGGGTTTCAGAGATGATGTAATGGGCAATATCTGGAACTTTGAGAAAAATTTTCCGTTAGCTAGAAAATTCCGGAGCTGAGAGATTTTTTCCTGCTTTGAGAGAGTCGTCTCTTTACCTGGAAATCTCTTCTTCCCGAAAGTGCTCTGCACCAATTGTTCCAGCTAACGGAGATATCACTGTATGGTATAAATAATGACAGTCAACTGTATACATACATATCTTCTTTACAGGTGAAATCATAGTAAAATTGGGATGTGTAAGGCAGTTCAGATCCTTACCCCCCAAAATAACGATGTTCCTATAGGGAATTAGCTTTCAGGTTCTGAACAACTGCCTTATAAGCTGGTCCTTCAATCCCTTTGTATTCCAGTCCAGTGGGTGGCTGGTGTTCACTAAAGTCAGTTTCAGATACTGTACTCTGTATACTGTAGGGGCATACCTACTGTATGAAAAAATATATACAAAAATATATACCAGTCCTCTTCAATGACAAGGTCATATATATTGTATAGCATACTCTTACCTCATTTAATTCCTGCTCTTCCTCGGCATTTTCATTGGTCTGCTTACGGTGCTCCAGCAGCATGTGTACTTCAGAGATTAGCAGCGTCTCGGCTTTTTCAAATTCTGCAATTAAAAAATATTTATACTGTATACTTTTAAAGCCAAAGAGACAAGCATGGACTAACCACTGTCATGTAATCTTCCCATTAGCCTCTATTATATAATTAGAAATATGTTTGTATGAAGAAAAAATCTACTTCAAAGCTTACTGCACTATGATGACATCTAAGACATTGTTAAGCACATAAGTAATAGAAAACAAAATTGAGAACATAAGTAAGACCCCTCTAAGTCAGATGAGGTGGCACAATAACGGTTGCAAATTCTTAGTAGGATAATAGTTTTTTGTATGTCTGATTGAAGTAAATAGATAATTTTAATTTAAAATTAAATAAAATTCACTATTCCTTACTTAATATCTGTTCACCCACCATAGTGATACCTCTATTAGCCAGAACAATAATTGGTGCAGAACACTTCCGGGAATGAGAGATTTCTGGGTAACGACACGACTCTCAAAACCGGAAAAAATCCCTCATCCCTGGAATTTTACAGATACGTAAAGTCAAAATGATTTTGGAAGTTCCAGAAATTGTGCGACACATCATCTCTCGAACACGGGAAAATCTACCCCATCCTTGGAATTTTTCGGGTACCGGAAAGTTTTTCACGCAATTTCCAGAAAATGTGACCGATTTTCATCTTGCAAACCCCCCAAAAAATTAAAAATCTCCCATACCCGTAATTTTCTGGGTATTAGTAAAATTTTCTCAGAATTTCCCAGAAAATCGTTCCAAAAGCCAGAATTTTCCAGAAGATTCCAGCTTTGGAAATGATTTTCTGAGAAAATTTCAATTCTGGTTATCGGATAGTTCCAGGTTTGAGAGATTCCAGCTAATGGAGATATTAATTATATGAAATTTTTATTAAGATAACAGGTACAGTTTTAAATACTAGAAGATGTAATAATTTGGTTAAGATTAATTTTTTGCCATATTGGACATTTCATAACAATAGATTTTTTTATTATGGTGATTTGAAAGAGTTACCTTTTTTTTTATTTCTATTGTTTGACGGTAATGGAGAAACGACCATGATTTGCATAGTACAGTACAGGTACTCCTCGACTTACGACCACCCGGACATACGACCGCCGCAGTCGTATAAAATATTTTTCAAATTACGTATTTTCGAGTCCTGACGTTAGCGATCGCTCTGTGTACTGACAAAATTTTCGTTTGTAATTCCCTTTAAAATGGCTGGCAAGCGTAAAAGTGAGAGTTCCCGTGGTGCCGAGAAGAAAAAGAGACACCCATTTTATATTTTCTATGTATTATTTTCGCCTTTTCGACTTATGACCAATTCGACTTACGGCCTGGTCGTCGGTCTGGAACCCCGTCGTAAGTCGAGGAGAGACTGTATACAGGACAGTAGTGGGCAGGACTTTGAAGATAAAGGAGAATGTGGAGTTAAAACACACACAAAGAGAAACACAAAACAAACCTTAGAAAACCTGACATAACCTTTCCATTAATAAAGTCCTAATCCTATAAAAAGCTTACCTTATTTAACCAATGGCAGAAAAAAAAAGTTTGTCTCCTCTTGTTATTTTTGCGTGTTTTTGGCATTTAGGTCACGAGGGAGGCATAACACAAGTGAATACCAGCCTGTACTTCTTGATGAAATATTTGCACATGTGTAAATCTCCCAAGAAATTTGAACTGTCCCCCGAGCGGTCAAAGCAGATCACATGAAGCTCACTTTAACGAGCTTTGTATGCAAAGAAATTAATTATTTACTGTAAATATTTTTCCGATAAATCAGCTGCTGTCAGAGCGTGTTGTCCTCTACTCTTTGTTTATGTTCGGACCAAGAGGATCGCTCAGTCACAAGTGTCGCCATTTGTTGTTTATGTCTCACAGAAAAGGTCTGACCACCCATCACGCAGTGCCCCTTACCACCGTGTTGGCTTCTTAAGCGTCTACAGCGCATGTGTGGGGGGTGGTGTGGGAGTTTCTTATTGGCTATAGCAATAGGAGACTTATAATTGGGCAAGAGTTTTTTGTCTTCACCAATGAACAATGTGTGGGTGCATAGGGAGTGGAGATTTGATTTTCAGTACCAGAATAACCAGATATGGCTGAACAGGTGGAACGAGCTGTGCCAACATTGTGATAGAGATTATTTTATGTCAATTGCAGAGTTTCATCAGAAAAATAGTGTTAGGTTAGGTCAGGTTAGGTTTGTTGGGGTTTTTATTTGTGATTTACTTGAGAAAAAAATATATTTTTGTTAAGATTGATGGGGGGGGATGTCAAAAACTATTGATTTCCAGCTGAAATGAATATCAAATTCGTTTGAAACTCATCAAATAACACCGGAAAAACTTATTTTTAATAGACAAACAGAGACCGGTGCATTAGTGAAAATTGACCGCCACATGTTAAATAACGTTTATTTTTAAAATAACTCTTTTTTAACATATTTCCACAAACTACAACAGTGTCTACTATAATATAACAATGAAAATCCGGCATTTTTATAATTGTTTTCAATCAATTTCGCTCGCCGGTTAGTCCTATATAATTACCAAAATATCAAAGAAGAAAAATGTCTTAGAATTGTCTAAACATTAAGAAATACATATTAATAACAGCGAAAGAAAGACCGGTGCAAGACTATAAATTCACCGAAATGCCATAGATGAAAGGAGTCTTAGAATTGTCTAAATTACTGATTTCAAAACTTAAAATCCTAAAAATCGCTGGATGACCGAAACGATAATTTTACCGATTCTATATTGTCTTATCGTTTCTATTACTTACTATCATCCTATGAACATCTGGAGTTAGCCAGCTGCTACAGGAATACAGATCGAACTACACATGCCCAGAACAAACTCTGCACACTTGGAGCTGGCGGACGCTCGCCCCACAAGGGGTCACAGCTCAAGATTGAAGAAGCCGCAAGTCCAGAAAACTGTGAGGGCAAACTTTTTCGGAGTGAGAGTTGTGAACTCTTGGAACAATCTACCAGAAAGTGTTGTGACGACACCGAGTGTGAGCTCTTGACCAACACTGGAGCAGGTTCAGGTACATTCAGGAGCCGGTGCATGCCCAGTACTTGCCAACAGTGTGTAACAGAGATGTGACCGATCCACTAAGCAGCTAAAGAGCCGATCAGTGGTGAAGAGGATAAAAGTAAAACAGTATAAGTAAACAATGAGCCTGTTAGTGAGTCTCACCCACGACCTTCATCACTTCTAATGTATTGTATTATCTTACCTTTAGGAAACTGGAGTTCAGTGGCGTCCTCTTCTGTTGTATCACCAGTCGACTGTTGCTCTGCCATGATAACGGTCGTCTTCTTCAGGAATAACAGGTGACCACTGAACAACTCTATTACTGCTTCATAACAACAATGGCAACAACGAGCTTATATTTATTTTTATTTTTTTCAGTAGGTAAGACTTAATGAAACTATTCGTATAAATTTATAAAATATGAATCATAAAATAAATATATTAATTACAAATAATTGATCGTATCATATATATTTGAAAAATCATATATATATATCACTATACTGTATGAGGTACTTTATAGACAAATTTTACTTCAGATTTTAGAATATATTGCCGTTTTTATTAAATATGTTTAATTAAACTAAAGTATGTAAATATATAAAAATAAATACGTATCCATAATAAATGTTAGGCTGGTTGTTTATCACCATGGCCGAGGAGGAGCACCCCAGTGTCTCTCTTCTCTTTGACAAATGCCTGAAAATACACGACGAAATAGACAAATCTGACCTACCCACAAACTCAGATAGTCTACAGGTTTGTGTTACTTAAATATAGGAGCGTCATTTGGTGGTTGTTACTTGTTAGTGAGTTGTGAGGGAGGCTGGCTTAACGAGCTATAGTTAATCCATTTGAATCTTGGGGTAAATATATAACTCCGCCACGGCTTTATATATATATATATATATATATATATATATATATATATATATATATATATATATATATATATATATATATATATATATATATATATGGTATTATTGCGTTTACACACCGTTCATTCCTACCACTAATCTATTATTATATTCGAATAAGACGTCCAATTATAAGATAATTTTCATCTATTACATTACTGGCGGAAATGTATAATAACGGAGATATCTTTTCCAAAAAATGTCTATTTTCTTCATTAACCTCCCGCCATTATTGTCTCCCTCTCACCCAACACTGCGTGTCTCTCTCGTCTCCTTCATAAATCATCACGCGCAAGCGTAACCGTACACGTCACACAGCCAATCAAAAGCGTTTTTGCTTTTGGAACCAATTAAAATGATTTTGGGTTTAATTCAGAGTATATTTGGCCCAATTAAAATCGAGTTCTATTTTGGGTTTCATATTTTGAAATTCAAGTTCAGTTCCGATCATGGAAGTCTGCGATAGATGTCACTTAAAGTATACGGAGCTGATTGCGAGTTTTTGGAAAAAAACGTAGAAACTATAGCATTTTTTCAATTGTATGGTGTTCTTCCAACCTCAGTAAAGTGTACTAATAACAAGACTGAATGTAAATATCGCAAAGACCAACATATGTGGCGTTGGGTAAGAATCCCAGAATGCAACGACGAACAAGAACCAGGCCAATAAGGTAAGAAATAGGTAATTCCATCATATGGTCAGAGTCAGTTAAGTTAGGTTAGGTTAGGTTTTTGTTTTTCTAGTGTTTTTGTATATTTTTTAGTCGTTTAGCTACTTTTTTTCGGAAAACGTCAAACGAAAAAAAAATCGCAAAAAAAAACGGCTAATTTCCTCCAAAAATGAAGGTCATATTCGGTCTAAACACACACACAAATACAATAGAAAAATATTTTTTTTACTTGCTAAAAGTGAACGGTGTGACAATGCAAATTTACCATATATATACATATATATATATACACACACATCGATTAGCCCACCCGGGTACAGGTCACTGACTCACATCGGGGCCTGGGAAGCGAAAATGTAATAATAATAATTTTAATAATAATTATAATAACAATAATAATTAAAACATTTATTATTTTACTTTAGGACATAGTGTGCCCGAAAGTTATAAACTACTGAAACATTTAGATTTCGCTATTCTGAGCATTTTGAACCCAATAAATACAGGGCGGAAATGGATAATAGCAACACAATTAATTTAATTGATTTTACGTAGTTTTAAGTCTTCATCTCTGTGAGGAGATGTTATCTGTGCATCAAGCATACCCAATGTTGACTGATTTCATCCAGTTGTAACCAATGAGGTATCGATATCACGCAAAAATTTTTCAACCAATCACATTTGATTTTACCGAAACTTGGATGAATCTGGCGAGCAAGAACTATTTTTCACAAGGGCAGAGAAGGTAGGAAGGGGTCACACTCTTCTTCAGGGATACATTAAAATGTTGTATTAATAATTCAATAAAGGGTGAAATAGAGAACGAGTCTGTATGGGTAGAAATTGCGGAAGGAAGAGAAAAACTAATTATGGGAGTTATTTACAGGCCACCAAGTCTTGGGAAAGAAGCAGCTCAGCCCATATGGCAGGAAATAAGAAGGGCAGCAAAATACAACAACCTGTGAATTATGGGGGATTTCAACTTCAGAAATATTGACTTGGGCAACATTGTAGGTGACTATGAATCTGATGACTTCCTAGACGCAGTACAGGACAATTTTTTTAAACAACTAATTACAGAACCTACTAGAGGTGACAATATATTAGACCTAGTATTAAAAAATAAAGAAAATATTATCAGAGATATCACAGTAGGGGAAGAACTAGGTAACAGTGATCACAGAGAAATCAGGTTCACCCTAAATTGGGAAATGAAACATAAAATAATAATAATAGTAATATAAAGAACCATAAAGAAATCCCCCCCAAAAAAGATCAAGAGTGAGAAACGATATGTGTATGTGGTGTTGTCAAAGTAAGAGAAACTACTGAGACCCAGTAATTGTGTGTAAATGTGGCAGAAAGTCTGATCAGCAACCTGGGACCTGGTCACAATTTTTGTGATGCCATACGGTATAATGGTTAGTTTTATACCGTATTTTTATGGTATTATCGTTTCGGTGATCCAGGGAATTTTTTGGGGGGGTCTGTCCCCCGGTTAGGTTAGATATAGGTTAGGTTAATTTGTATATCTAAATAGAGGGATGACTGAAACTATAATTATGGGCTATAATAATTTATCATCTTCTTTAGCAACTTGTTCATGGAAGTGGCTATATACAGGACCGTTCTGCAAGACATGTCATGTCTTGTCTTATCAGGACGGTCCTGTATATAGCCTCGGCCACTTGTTCGTATGCTTTATTTAATACTCTGTGTACACTACAGTGCACCATATTATTGGTATTTTATTTACAAAACTCAGAAAATTCCTGAATTTGGTTCAATTCTGGTCCCAAGCGTGTTTAAATTACTATGTGTTGTACAGGTATTTGGAGTGATTACCCTGGGAGACACCACTCTTGTTCCCTATGAACACTTACATTTGCTACTGTATTGTCAACAAGACTGATCCTTCTTAATTCCTGAAACATACTGAGCTGTTTCCCTCAACTTATTTAATCGTTTTTTTTATTTTACAAATATTTCTAATCTAAGGATTGTGATTAACTGTGTTTTTTCTTCCAGGTTAAGATTAGAGAAGGTATAGATGGTTTAATTAAAACAACAGTGTTGGTGTCAGAACTTGGAGTTTTCAGCCGTAATGAAGTACTTGATGAACTCCCTACGTCTTCTATCAAATTCCTCTTGTTGCCAGTTCTTCTGGGATCCCTCTCTGTCAAGCGTACAGACTTTAATCGTTTGGAAGTTCTTCGACTGGCAGACATATATTACAGGGACTTTGTAAAGCGTTGTAAACAGTACGAGCTCACAGACGCTAAGTTACCTAATGATCAAAGTGAGGAAGATGATTCAAATGAAGCTGAGTCAGATAGAAATAATGTACCCAAAGCTTCTGTCAAAAAAGGAATGCCATCCCCAGAGGTAAGGATAACCCAGGCATTGTTGATGGTTCAGGTTTAAAATGATTGACCAATGTTTTTGTTGAGTGTGGGAAGGAAGAGGTCTGGAATGTTATTGTGTGAACCCTGTGACTGCTAATATTGTTCTACCTCACTTAAATGATAGGACAGTAGTGATGCATCATGACACGGGTTTCTATGTAAGTCGGAGTTAGGGACCAGGGGCCAAAAAATATACATAATACTGTGTACTGTATTACCTAAAAAAAATTTTACTCAGATAAGAAAATGTATAGCAATACACACCACTGTGAGCCACATGTAATATTTTCTTGCAACCTCAGTCATCTCCATCTACTCTCCTCTTCTCAGGCGAAGTGACAGCTGAATTACACATAAGTAAAAAAAACTGTCTAAGTATATTTATGTTCAAGTCAAAGTCAAGTTAAGGACTTTTATTATGATTACAATATACACTGTTGGAACATTCATTTGTTGTATCATTATTATTATTATTACTGACCATTCACATGCCACTGTTCATGTAATGGGATATTAAGATTTTCCCTTAGTTAATGTAAGATTTTCTTCTTGGTAGGAACTTCAAATAATGGTCAAACAACGGGAAGAGAAAATACGAAGATTTAAAGAGAAGAAAGCTATAGGAGATCTGCTGGTTAATCTTAAGAAAGCTCTTGATAACCCAAGTTATGATGAAGATACTTTAAGAAAATATTATATTACTATGGTTAAGAAATTTATTTATGAAAGGTAAGTGGCTCTTGGTGTAATACTGTAAGTTTATTCTGTGTATGTTATGAAGTACTTTTTTTTTACTAAGCAGGTCATTCACATAAATAATGTGAGATTTAAGGTCAAATTTTTATTGGCTTCCTGTTAAAAGTGGCTCTCCTGTCTTATTCTATAGAGATTGACCTATTTAGCAAGAATCAAAGCTGAGGTCATTAGAGCCCATCTGTAGGTGTCAATAGCCACGAGAGGGACAAATTCAGCCAGTTTCCTCTAACTGTATACTGTACAGTAATATAGTTTCAAAAAGTGTCATATTTGATTGTTGGTTTGAGAATTCAATGGGTGTTCTTAGTGAAAATTCATAAATGACTCATAATTTGCCCTCAGGGGACAGCTTCTGTTCTTGGTTATGGTTAGCACCATGCTACTGTACAGTCCCAGCTGGCAGTTCTGAAAGTACAGCATTTATTTCTCAGTAGTGGTGGTGGTGAGAGAAGGATGCTGTTCCTGCACTTACAACATTCAGTAGACCAGGCTGCCTCATAAACTTTGGTTCACCTGGCTTTGTAGCCCTTTACACTGATTCACAGGAACAGTGATCGTGCCACAGAATGGAGATAGTCCACTGAATAACTGGAAAATTAATAATATTGTTATTATTTTTTATGATTATTAATATTTTAGTCTTGATGATATGGCTTTTATTTATACCTGTATGTGTAACTACAGTTTAGAAGAATTGGATAGCTTGACAATGGAACGCACAATGCTGCTGGAGATGGAAGCCATGAGGAAGAAAGGAACACTCCCAGACCCACAGCAAATCCCCAAGGCGAAACCACTGAAGTATGCACTATACTGTACCCTCTTGTCTGGTTTTTCATATACTGTACTGTCTACATATTAATAATCATTGTATTGGTTGCATTTGTTTTGTTGACTGTTTTAAAAGTATGAAGTTAATCTAATTGGTGTTTGTATTACCAAGATGTTAATATCTGTATTACTTGTACTACTCTCACACAGGCCAATCCTTATTACCAGAGATACAATACAAAATAATGTGTTTGGTCTGGGATACCCAAGTCTTCCATCCATGACAGTGGAAGAGTTTTATGACCAACGCGTCAGAGATGGCTGGTAGGTGACTTTTAAGTATGTTCTGTTCGGTAATGTGGCTGGAGTGTTAATTTATGAGTATTTTTCAAGTATATGATTAAGGAGTACAGTACTCTATTTTAGTTTTGAGTTTAACCAATTGTGTACATGGTCGTCTCTGAGCTGAATAAAATCAAGTGTTAGCCAAATAAAATTAAAAGTGGCATCCCCATAGTGAAGGAGTTAAAAAGACTTAATTTTGGCTAATATCCTTTAAGTACAGCATGCTGAAATCAAACCCCAGAGAGTCAAGTTCAATTCTCATTCTGTCTGATGACTTACAAATCACATGATGGAGTGGTAATGGTAAGGTACAATTCTGTTCATCAGATTTAAGATTAGTGTAAGATGTTGGTGCCAGTGAGGAGCAGCAGCAACAACGTTCATATTGTGCTTGTTCTTCAGCCTAACAACATCCATAGTAGCAGTGAGAAGCTTCATTCCATAACCCAGCCACCCTGATAGTGAAGGTCTTTTAGAGATAATTGGCATACGACCTATTAGGTTTGTCTTGGTTTGGGTTAGTATACTGACATCAACACCTGGATCATTACGGCCTTAGCAAAGTTAATTGTTATCAGGGATGTTGATTTGACCTGTGGCAATTCCTCTGGTGTCTTATTCTTGTTTTGTGGTCTTCTCTTCACAAGGTGGGTAATCAAAGGAACTGTCAAACACACTCTTTGGGGTGGTTATCTATTGAAGGGTGACCTATGTACCTCAACCAACAGTTAACTCAGTACCAGAGTCCTCATGCTCCACTCTGCAGACCATGAAAGGAGGCTTAGATTGGCCCAAACAAGACAGCTACAGCTTTGTGGGAAAACAATTATGGTCTTTACATCTCCCTGATATGCCTGAGAATGTTGGTGTGGAGGACTGTTAACTAGCCATGGAGCTCATCTCTAATCTTGTCCCAGTTTGCTGAGAACAAATGGTTGTAGAAGAGTGGATAGAATGAAGATGAACAAGCTGGTGAAGACAATACAGGTGTATTAGATAAATTATAAACTTGTGTGAATGTATTGAGATGGAATGTGATATGAAAATATAAAAAGTGGATGAATCTAAGATTTAATAAGTAGATGTAAAGAATAAGACAGTACAGTGTATAAGAGTGAGGTGAGCATAGGAAACTATACATTCAGTGTGGACCAAGGCATTAACCCTTAGGCCCCAGGTGACGTTCCAGAATGTCCGACAATCGAGCCCGGGTGATGTTCCAGAATCACCTATTTTCTGTAGCCTCCTTTTTTTACGGAAATGTTACTTTTTTTCTAATTTAACCCTTCCAAGGCCAGCACTTCAACCTCAGGGCTTAGGTTATGGCGAATCACCCAGCAGCCAGGTGTGTTTAATGCTCTTAACCCTTTCACTGCAAGAACACCATTTTGCTGTTAATTTGACCAACACCAGACGACTTTATTCAGCAATGAAAGGGCCTCATGTATGAGGGGTTAATGTTTATTAGATATAAATAGATAGGTAGATTTAGCATTTTCATTGTTCAGTTAGTATATATATGTACAGTACAGTACTTGGCATCTCTATCTACATGCATTTTTTTTATTTCAGGTTTCCTGATCCAACTAAAAGTCAGAATTGCCATCAGGACCGCACTACATTTGGTCTGGAGTCAGAGAAAAATGCTGAAGAACAAGAGGAGGAAGCCAAAGAAAAGGCAGAGGAGCAAGATAACCCAGAAAAACTAGAACGAGATAGAGAATGGGATGAGTGGCGGGACACTCACAAAAGAGGATGGGGCAATACTTATAACAGAAGCTGAGGAATGACTATTACTCTGCTTCTCTCAAAAGATGTTTTCAATGTTTGCAATCTGCTTATGGATGACAGTATTTTGTCATCTCTTGATTTTTTCATTCTAACAACAAAAGTAAAAGGGGTAGCTTATAAACCAATTAAACATGAATATTTTTTCTTCAAAATCTTTGTTGTTCAGACTATGATTTGTCTATGATTTGATAATGCATTTTAAATTTACCATAAATCTGATGTCTCAGTTATCAAGTTACTTGTGTAACAGAGTAGAAAATAAAGTGAAACATCAAACTTTACATACTTATTGCCATTCAGTGTACATTATTACGTGTTATAGTCATCTCCAAGCTGTAAAGACTATTGCAGCTTCTCTTGTCTGGTTCGTATCTCAGAGGTAATTTCTTACAACCTCTCCCCATGTTATTCTTCCCTCATAAATAAACTCCCAGCACCTGATCCAGTTGGTTCACATGCTGAACCATCTAAGCCTACTTACTTTTCTTCACTGGCCTCACTCCAGCTTCAGAACAGGGGTGTCAACATCACACACACACATCCATTTCACTATTTCATTTAAAATTTGAATACTTAGCACCTTCATCGTATATGTTGTCACACAACATCACAATTCACACCACTGTTTCTTACCTGTCAATAGAACAGCCCCAAATGTTCTTACACTTGACTATGGTGATAAGAGTTAGCTTCCGCACCATCTCCAGTACGTACTGGTCATGTCACTCAGGTAACAGAACTTATCAACACAGTTCTGTGATAAAGCACCAATATTAAGCTTTACCAGCCTTGCTAGGACTGCATAATTACCTGCACGTATAACACACTTAGAGTTGCATCATCCAGCAGAGTATTATTTACACCACCACACTTTTTGTGTACCCACTTTCTATACTCACTGTACATTTATAAATTACTGCCAATACCATTCTTACAGACAGCAAATATCCATTTTCTACTTTTCACCACAGGTCCTTCATCCTGAACTTGTTTTCTAGCATTAAATTCATTCTCATTTTAGGGGTTCTGGTGATAATTTTAGTGGTCATTTTAGGGTTTCTAATACAGTATTAAATTTAGGGACTGGTGGTCATGGTTGTCATCTAAAGGGTTGTGATCATTTTGGGGTTGTACATGCCACAAGATAAAGTAAGCCTCTTGGGTCTATAGATTAACACTTTTTCATCCGGTATCGATTGGCAACCAACTGGATTACAGGCACACATTTCTACTACAGGTTATCCAGTTAGCTGCAGATCCTATTCTATCATTGTTCCATCATTTTAAACAACACTCACCCCATAAAACAATAATAAAAGCCTCAAGTTCATTGGCTTCTCATCTATTTGGGATGAGGCCAAATCTCTTACACATTACAGTACTACTGGCAGACATATGATCCTGAATCTAAAAACAGAGTTGTGTTGACTCAAATAATGTATACAGATAACTTGGTTTTTATAGTGTGTTTGTGTATCCAATGATGTATGTGTAGTAATGATGATGTTTGTGTGTGTGTGTATGTAGTAATGGTGATGTTTGTATGTGTGTGTAGTAATGGTGGTGTTCTTATGTGTATAGTGATGGTGATGTGTGTGTTAGTGGTGTATGTGTTGTAATGGTAATGTTTGTGTAGTGATAGTAATGTGTGTGTGTGTAGTAATGGTGTTGTTTGTATGTATGTGTAGTGATGATGATGTATGTTTAGTGGTGTATGTGTGTGGGTTTTTTAATGGTAATGTTTCTGTGTAATGATGGTATTATGTGTGTATGTCTAGTGATGAATTTGTGTGTTTGTGTCTGGTATGTATGTGTGAGTGTGTCTGTCTGTCTGGTATGTGTATGTATGTGTGAGTGTGTCTGTCTGTCTGGTATGTGTATGTATGTGTGAGTGTGTGTCTGTCTGGTATGTGTATGTATGTGTGAGTGTGTGTCTGTCTGGTATGTGTATGTATGTGTGAGTGTGTGTCTGTCTGGTATGTGTATGTATGTGTGAGTGTGTCTGTCTGTCTGGTATGTGTATGTATGTGTTCAGTGATGATTGTTGTATCTATCAAGTGATGTGCATGCATGAAGTTATGGTGATATATTTGTGTGTATCTAGTGATGTGATGTATGCGTGTGTCTAGTTATGTGATGTGTGTGTTTAGTGATGTAGTGTGTGTGTTTAGTGATGTAGTGTGTGTGTTTAGTGATGCAGTGTGTGTGTGTGGTTCTGTAATAAAACAGAACAGTCATCAGGTGCAATAGCCAGAAAGTGAAAGGAAAGTGATAAGACAAATTGAAAACTTTCCCTTCTTTGTGATACACTATATACCTCCACCAGATGTGTTCCCATCTCCACCACATGAGCGCCAGTATGTGACCCCACTACAGTATTGCCAGAACACTGTACTTAGTATTTGGGAAATACCCTGTAATATTTTTTTAGTTGTTATATGACAAGCAGCATGACAATATTCACTTAAAACCTGGAATTCATTTTAGTATATGAGACTAGTCATTTTATACAGTACTGTAATGTACTATCAATACTGTACAGGGCTAAAAATACACTTGTCATGAACTAATTTGTTTTCAGTGTGGTTCTCAATGAACTAGGCCACACTGTATCTAAGTTAGCTACTCTACCCTAGTGTAACATTCTCTTCATTATTACTAGCTAAAGCTTTGACAGGTTGTCTATACTAATACTTCCTTGAACCTTTTTCCCCCCTCACAAGTATTGCCTGTTTTCAACCAAGTTCCAATTAATATTAGTGTAATATTGTAAGCTTATTCAAAGTATATATAGGTAGCATGTGGTGTTCTTGTGGACTAGTAAAATTATTAACTTCTACAATAGACAATGTAACTACAACTACAGTATTGTTGTGAGAGTCTTGTCAAAATTCTTTACCACTCCTCCCAGTATAAACTGTTTGTTACACATACTCTTGTTATCCTTCATGTTCAGGGGTATTAGGGTGTCCAGTGGCTGTTGAACTTACATTTCACAAGGGCTTAATGGTCCTTACTCAGACAAAGAACAGTAACTTAATTCTCCTCACTGTCAGGGAACATCACACTTTGACATCAACAAGTGACCCAACACTCTTTGGGTTATATCATCACATACAAGGATATAACTGGTTTATTCTATAACATATACCTGAAAAGTTACATTTTTGTGTGCACTGTACAACTAGTGAGGTAAAATATAAATTAAGCAAATGCACTATTAACAAAACGAATACAAACCAGACATGGGGCTTAAGTTGGGTTTGGCTTCTGGGCCATGTGACATTGATTTGACCTAAGATCCATACTGACGTCACAAGTTATCCCTACTGGTCTAATCTCACAAGGACCTGACCTGAATGTTGGAAGAGATCAAAGATACCAAATAGTTGCTTTTCTGTAATTTGTGACTAAATTACTATGTTATGGATAAAATAAAATTATCAAAGATAATTGTTACTATAAGTAACCTTTTTCAGGCTATAGGGAGAGTTAAAACTTACCCCAAGAACAATCAGCTTAAAATAAAGTTAGCTTATCTCAAAGCCTTGCTGCAACTTACATTACAGTACCATACATACTATTCCCATCAACATATAAGGTAATACAATACATTTTATATAAATAACAGTGCTCAAGTTTCCTAAAACTTTGAAAATTGTTGGTTTCAGCTTCATGACTACTTTAATATTTGGCTTCATGACATTTTTAATGTCTGGCTGCAGCTTCATGACATTCCAATGGCTTTGGTTTCAAAGCCGTAGGCTTGGCTTTGTCCCCATGCCTGATTTACAAAAAAAAAGAGGATTGAATGTAGACAATTTATCATATATTATAACAGTCAGCAGTTTTTATGACAAATGTTCTCTGTAGTCAGGGTTATGAAACAAGATTTTCAGATTGAACTCTGTTGAGCCTTAATTCACCTTTTCTTGAGGTGTGAAGCACAGTACTGTATGTCCATAACCCAGGAGAAGGCACAGCTCACTGGCTCCATTGATAAAATAATAGTGCTTTATTACTAACAGACAATTTAGTACAATGTCAAATATTGCAGTAATTATCTGCCTGTACTGTGCATACTTTATTACTATATTTTATTTTCTGTGAATGGTATGTTACCACAATATTCTTATAACTATGTTATGGCGACTCCAAATCATTGTATAACCCAATATAAATGACTATGGGAGTGATGTGATTTTGAACTGGACTATCACTCAAACTCAGATGATGATTCATTATTAACATAAGCTTTTGTCTGTTCCTTGATGAAGAATAAAAAATCTGGGCTGAGCGCTTTGACACCTCCAGGATCCAGCCCAGGATGGACTTTGTCTCTGTCGTTGTGGACCTCCTTGACTGGCACATCATCCCGGTAGATGGAGTCCTCGGTGATGAAGTTGATGTGTGGAGACACTGCAGGCGAGGCCGGTGGTCTCTGAGGAGGCAATGAAGGGTGCTCCTCAAAGTCTGGAGAAAATATGTCAAAGGGCTTCAGTGGAGGATGTGGTGATGAAAAGTGATAGTCATTGTCATCGTGTTCGTGAGGTCCGTTGAAGAATTCCTCAACTTCATCATGTAGGTGACCAAATCCATACGAGTCTTCTTCATCAGGAAAATGAAAACCAGATGACTCGAAGAAGTTTGGTGGATCAAAATCAAACTCGAATTCTGGAAAGTCAGGTTTATGTGGAGGGGGACCATGGTTGGGGTTCGGGGGGTGTCTTGGGGGTGGGTGTCGTACTGGTGGGTGAAAGGCAGGTGGGCGGGGCCCTGGGGGTCGGTGTGGCGGTGGGCGGTGTTTTGGAATTGGAGGATAGAAGTTAAAGAAAAGGCCTCTACGGTGGGTGCTCAAGTTTCTTGGATCAGTAACTGCTGCCAAATCTCTTAGTGGACTTTCCCTCTTCTGTGGCGGAGATTTTACTGTTGATTCGTTTGAATGAGTAGCACCTAATGTCATATGAGTACTGGAGGCCACAATGGGTTTATCTTGGTGGTGTGGTTGTATTGCAGCAGTACTCTGAGGCACACTGGGTGGCCTTACAGTTCTCCCACGGTGCCTCACCAGATGGCCCCTTTCACTATTTTGGTTACTTGTGTGAGACCTCTTGTTGGGGCTAAATAGATATGATGGGTTAGTGAAACTTGCGCTGGAAGGTAAGTGGTGGAGGGTTTCTTCCCCACACGCCACCATCGCCACCAGCAACAACAAACATCCCTGTTGACATGAAAAGAAACACCAATTAGTTTCAACTAGTTACCTGATTTGTGGTATCACTACACTGACATATGTACAACTACTGGAGCTTGTATGTGACGTCTGTTTTTATGTTAGTGTCCAACTGTCAAAAGACAATCATCTTAGGCCACACATCTCCCTCAGATAGTGTGGTGAGAATCTGGAATGGTTTACACAGCATAAGTATGAGCGGGGCCGTCCCTCACACCATTGCAACCACCAGAGGAGATAGCACAGATAGCTCACTTATAACACTAGCCAGCGAGGCGAGACTCGCTCACTATCTCATTAACAGTTGTGTGCTGTGATGACTTTGTTGTCCAGCACCAGCACGTACACCTCCCTGCCTGGCTCCTGGTGAAAGTGAGAAAGTTCTGTCATACCTCTCTCTCCCTGCCCCTTCCTACATTCCCTCTCCTACTGCCCCTACTCCCTCCTCCTACTTACTGACCTGCACAATCCCCCTTCATCCTACCCCCTCCTCCCCAGCTGTCACACCAAAGTTCCAAACCCAAAATTTTACCCATTCGCTCATCAAAACAATGATAAATTACATGGTTATTCATGTTATTTCTTTTCAAGAACATTAAAAATCACGATACTGGGTGCAAATATAATTGATTCATTTTGGGTTATGACCAACAAACTTACAGAGACCAATGAGTTAGTGTAAAATATTTGACTCATTCAGCCCACGTGATTTACTCCGGGTTATAATGAGTAAAAAAAATACACATTATGCATTTTTTATCGACTTTTGACTTCTGTTAATAGTATCAGTATGTAGGATGTATCTTAACTAGTGTAAGTATGAGCAAACACTGCCTCAAAATATACTTTTTTGGGTGGATTGACATTTGACTCCAAAAAACCTAACCTGATCTTTTTTGACCCACAAACATAAAATATAATTTCAAAGGCGTAAGCGAACTGGGCCAGTCTGTAAACTCTAGCATCACTCTGTTTGAATGAGTGACGATTTATTGTTAGTTTACGAGAATGTATAATTATGTTGACAACGAACTAAAGTTCTTGGGCCATTGTGAAAAGAAGGTGAATCAAACAACTAAGCTACTAGGTGCTTCCCCGATTGGAGTACTGTCACACCCTACAGTATGTACTCCCCGAGATATGCTAAACTTTTTTACTTTTATTTTTATCCTCTTTGCTACCGATCGGCTCGTTAGCAGCTTGGACGGTCGGTCACGTCTCTGTTAAGCACTGTTGGCAAGTACTGGCCAATGGGCATGAAGACTATCGTAGGAATGTTAAAAGGAACTATTAGTCTTATGAGAGCAAGTCAATCTCTATTAGTTGGATGTTTAGTCTAGAGATGGCGCTGGATCACTGTAGTGTAATTGTATTCAGAACTTGAGACGTCTGTGGTTGTGTTGCCGATCTGTTTACATGTTTGCCTGCTTCAAGAGAGGTGACGTGGTGTGACGGTAGATACAAACACCGGCCACCTTTGTGTTGTTTGTGGAAATAACAAAGGGAATGATGGAGACCTAAGGTTTCATTTCTTCTCAAAAGATAGAAAAAGGTAAGTTCATATCTGTGTGGTTGATTCATAAGTAGTAACGATTAAATTTCAGTTTAATTTGTCATTTCACCACCTATCTTACTAGCCATTTGGGCGGCAGATCTTATTTCTTACCTTGTTGTGAACTTGATTGTCCAGTAGCACCTATCGAATAATTCCCCCTCCATTTATAGTTGTTTCTAGTGTAATTTTATCTCTTCAAATATACAATTAAAAATGTAGGAAACCTATAGAAGAAAAGAGCGAGCGCGGTTTGTTTACGTGTGAGGTCCGTGTCGCAGATCACCAGTCTAGGAGGCGAAATGCAAAGTTAAATGGGCTGTAACTTTTTTTCCTTTTAATTTACGAAAATTTTGTTTTTGCATATCTGGAGAGAAGAGGTAGAACTAACCTAATATAAACTATAAAAAGGGGGTTACTCAGTGGGTCTTAAACTGCAATTTAACTAGTCATTTGAAAGCACATATCCACGCACAGTGGTGAAGAGGATAAAAATAAAATGATTAATTTAGGTTATACCTGTTAATCAGTGCCAATACGGGAACACATACCCTTTTAACCCCTGCATTTTCCTTCCATATAAAAGAGTAGTAATCGATATCGTGCTTGAGCAGTTACTTCGTGTTTGTAATACATGAATGATTTCCAACTGCACTTGTGACAGAATTTAAAAATAACTTTCAGTAATTTAGTGGTACGTTCCAAGTATCTTACATTCAGCCACCTTTAGCTTTCATTTTCTTTGATAGTGATGCTCTAATTCATTATTACTGTATAGCATACTTACATTACAAGTTTCTTCCGGGTACTCACTTTCCTCCTGTACTGCAGTAACTAGGACAATATAGTTCGTAACACTGCTAATAAAGAACAGACAAACCGGCCGAACGGCTAATAAGGTGATAAGTGGTGAAATGATGAGTGATGAAAATGGATAATTAAATGAATGCCAATGATATCGAAAGTAAAATCAGCGGGAAATACTAACCCTAACAAATTAAAATTATCTCGACAACACAGGACCATTTTCTATTATTTCTAGCTTGTCCAATAGATGGCGCCAGTGTCGGGGCTTAAATACACTATAAGTGAGTTTTAGTTTCTTTTAATATTCCTTGACACTCATATTGTCAATTGATTGAAAATGTCCAAAGGAGGACCACAAGACCGATGCCTGCGCTATGGCACCTCAGTTAGCCAGAGAGATTAGAATGCCTACAACTGCTAAGCCAATACTACAGGCGGGCATGGTGTTGTAGTGGATACCCCTACAGTGTGACTTACACGAAGTTTATAAACATTTCAGAGGGCACCAAGAGAGCTCAGGCTCTCAATTGGCTCAGCCATGTCAATATTGTTATTATTGTCCATTCAGTATCTGTATTTTTCTGGCTAAATAAACTGTTTAAATATCAATATCAACTACTCAGCCGAGAGCATACCTGGAGCTGGCGGATGGTCGCCCCACAAGGGGTCAAATCTTAGGTTGATGAGGCCACAAGCCCAGAAAACTGTGAGGGGTAACTTTTTCTGAGTGAGAGTTGTGAACTCTTGGAACAATCTAACAGTGTTGTGTCGGCACCGAGTGTTATCTCCTTCAAGACCAGACTTGAACAACACTGGAGCAAGTACAGATACATTCGGGAGCCAGTGCATGCCCAGTACTTGTTAACAGTGCTAACCTGTGGGGGCTAATCTCCAAATGATCCGGAAAAACAATGCCTCTCTCCTTTGTGGTAGGCGGAAACTTCAGATGAAAATCCGATGTTTTAAGTTGGTATATTTCACATAACTTGTATTGCATAATTATATAATGCTGGTTCTGTGCCCCTCCGTTTCTGGTCGCTATTCATTCACCCTTCTTCCATTTGTGTTACGAAGCAACATTGTGTTATCCCAAACTGGGTAACCCCATGTCTGTGTTTTCTACGTTGTTCGCTTATGGAACGTGCCCAGAGAGACTCATGTAAACTAGAGAACGAAGCAGCAAGCCTTGTAGTGTGTGTGTGTGTGTGTGCTTACCTCCTTAACACGTACAGTACAGTACATTCTCACCCATAAGTTCTTGCTGCACTCAAGAAACAACTATATCACATCATCACATTTTTCTCATTAACTTATCAGTTACTGGTAAGGAGTCTGTGCCACTATCATTAGGCTCCGTCGTCTCATCCCGGGTGAGTGTTGAGTTTCCAGTTGTCATATTGTCAACAGTAAAAACAACAATCACACTGACGAGTGATGGCCATGACGTCAGCACTCCCAGGAACATACGTACAGTGCCGAGTTACCAATAATTAAATCATATGAAAAAGTAAAAGGTTTCAGGTTGACAACCCCTTATCCGGAATTCCGAAAACCGAAAGATTCTTTAGTGGAGTAAAATATTTTTTTTTACAGGGATCAGCCCACCCGGGCACAGGTCACTGACCTACATCAGGGCCTGGGGGCGAAAATGTAATAGTAATAATAATAATGATAGTAATAATTCATAGTAAATAAAATTTATAATAAAAAATACACAAAAATAAAATAATAATGATAATAATAATAATAATTATAATAATAATAATAATAATAATAATAAAGAAATACAAGAATGAAAAAAAAATCAAAAGTGAGAAACACGACCTAGACCTAGACCTGTAATTATTATTATTATTACACTTTCGCCCCCCAGGCCCCAATGTGGGTCAGTGACCTGTGCCGGGAGGGTGGGGGCGGACAGGCTAATCCCTGTAAAAAAAAAATAAATAAAAACTAACCTAACCATTCTGAAATCCGAAAAATTCAGAAATCCGAAACACATCTGGCCCCAAGGATTTCGGATAAGAGATTGTCAACCTGAAGAGTGGACCAGACGGTTAGCACCCGAACGACTTCATAGGATTTGTTCATATTTTCCACAGTTGTTTGGATGATAGTAAGTAATAAAACCGATACAACAACTTTTAAATTTAATTTTAAGCATTTAATTTTTATTTTTCATATTTCTTAATATAATATCATAAATCATCTGTAGTGGGCAGGGCATGAAAGCTGATGGAAATTACAGGGTGAAACACAGCGAACAACTGATCATATGGCAATAACAAACTGTCTCAAAGAGCTTTGTATAAGGCGAATAAATAAATTATTTACCGTAAATATTTGGTCGACATTTCTAACATCTCATCGAAAATTATAAATTTGTGATTTCGGTTATTGTAAACATTACAGTAACTGGGGTTTATTACCATAAATATTGGCGTGATTGTCTTATGTTTTCAATGTTATAAGTTTCAGCAATGTTGTTTTTCAGTGCCGTTCTTATCGTGTCGTGTTCGGTATCGTATCCCAAGATATCTGTGCTTGTGGAAGACCGTCTCCAAAAGTTCATCTGTCAACATGGCAGGACGTGAAAGTGTTCAAAATTCGGCAGAGAAATGATAGTGAA